AGAGTAATTTCTGTGGCTATTTAATTGTGAGTCACTAATGAAGAAACAAAAATCACACTGAAATTCTAGGGGTTTTTACAGGGAAGGAAAGTTCTACAATTTGGGGTAACAAAGACAAAAAAAATGCATTATTATAATTATGAAGTCAGAATAAAAGAGACTCAAACTAAAATATACTTCTATCACTTTCTCTTTTGCAACTTAAAGCTATGAAATTTATATTTAAAAAAAAAACACAGACATCAAAGAAATAAAAAATAATAGTGGTTTAGAATTCAATATAATAAATAAGACAATAATAATTTCATTTATTGAAAATAATGTTGCAAATTTTAAAAAAAACACTAATTTAGGAAAGAAAAATTAATGCCTCTGAAATTTTGCATGTGGGAGATCAGGCCTAGTCTCTAGAGAGTGAGTGTTAATTCTGAAGTACTCAAAAGCTTTTTCATTTTTGCTCCTCTCTGGTGTCTGAAAGACAAATTGCAGTGTAACAACATATATACTTTTGTCACTAAATTTAAATGCATCTATTGCAGGTTACTGGTGTAGAATTGAAATTCAGTTGCATTTCTAACTTTTTCCTAGTAGGAAATGGGATGAATAAAAATTCATGAGTTGTGTTTCTACAGAGCTACCCATTTTTTATTCAGCAATATGTGATAGCTACTTGCACACTGGTTTGTTTTTTTTTTTTTTTCTATTTGCATCAAGAATATATAAACTTTACCAGATTAAGGAGATTTGCCATGGGTAAATTATGGGTATTTGCTATGTCTCCCATTTGAGGTCTCTTTGTATGGCAGAACACCCTACTTTCAGAACATTCTTCAGAGAAAAAATTGTCCTGTGGAGAGTCTGAAAACAACTTTTTTTTTTGCTTTCTCTTGCATAATTATTTTATTTTCAAATTTCAGCAATTATTTCTGCATTACTAACTTCTGAGTAGATGGCAATATAATTTTTTTTTATTAGAATGGATTTGTAATTTGTTTCTTTTATCCTAAGAGTCCTAAAGCTTTTTTAAAAATTCACCAAAGAGAACATCTACTGAGAAGTAAAGAAACTTAATCTAGAACTGTTGGTTGCCTGATAGATCAAAAACTTTTTGATGGTATGAAAAACAAATGCCTGCTTATAACAGAGTAAATTACTTCAGGTTCCGTGTTATGAGGGACATCTAATATTTAGTGCTTGCTAAATATCGAATGATCCTGCTACATGTTAGATGGTCAGAAGGTATTTTGTCTTGAACCTAAATAGAAATTTCATCTGAGACCTGATTAATTCTGTTACTTTGCACATTAAATGTTCAATACATTCTGGAAATGCATCTGCTTTTCAAAGAAATGGTATTAGAGAATTACCATTAATCAGTGAAAACTCCCTTTGACAAAATGCTCTAATTTGAATTTAAATTCTTCTTTCCTTTCCTCTGAAGTAGATTCTTTTTTGTTGATCCCTGTGACATAAATTATACTCTTTAAGTTTGCCTGTTAGAGTTAAAAAAATATAATTTTTTTTAAAAGAGCACCAGGGGAAATTTCCTCTACAAACTATTTCCTATCCTATCATATTGGGATTATACACCAGTAAGCCTGTAGGGTGGCTGGGTAAAGAGCATACACACCTACCTTTAGTGTCATTTTCTTTCTCTGTTGTTTGGGGAAACCCAAGGAGAAACCATCACAGATTAACTGTGCTATTCATCCAGATTCCTCCAGCCAGCTATTTATGCCTCCAGTTCTTCAGGCATAAATTCAGTTTTTGTCTTGTCATCAACTGGGGATACTGAGGTATGAGGGTAGACTGAAGAAGAAGATGGTTTATGGATCCAAAGACTACGTACAAGTTTGTTTTCTTATGCAGTAAGTTCTGATTTTAAATAAGGAGGGACATACATGCAATGTATCCCAGCATGTCTTTCTAAAAATTCTAATTTTTAAGGTCCACAAAGTGCTTCACGGTTGTCAGCACCATCATCTCCTCTGTTTAACTTGTCATGTTTATGTACTGTTCCAATTTTCTTGGTATTGAGGGGTTTATTTTCCATTATGTTGGACATGTCATCTAACTCAAGTCTGAAACCAATTTGTGTTCCTCTGAGGGACACAGCAATGTCACAGAGAAGAAAAAAGAATCAACCTATTCACAGTTTTTCTTTCTTTTCCTTGTAATACATTCATTTAATACTTACCAGTTCCCAACTATCTTGTCAGGATCCTTTTTCAGCATCATTTTTTAGTGTTCTGTTCATTAACTTTTAAAGTCCTGCACAGGACTATGTGTGACCAGCACATAATCTAAACATCATAAAATTCACATCAATACTGTTCCTCTCTCATTAGACTTCAGGACACAGCTGTTCTTTATGTTAATTGCTCAACTCCAAACTCTCAGGAATTCATAAAAAATTGACATTCCTTAACGGGTTTTTTTGCAAGTCAGGTCAGCTTGGTCGATTTATCATGCTTTATACTCTTCAGTGTTCTATACTGCAATAATATCATGTCCATCGATCATTACTCTCTCATTTTTTTTCTTTCAGGGTCCTGTGGTCCTATGCTAAACCATCTAAACTTCATGTCATTTTAACCAGTATAATTTAAATCACTGAAATGATCAGCAAAGCTTTTACTAATTAAGTTTTGTTTGTCTTGATAAGTTGTGTACTAAGAATTACCTCCTGAGTGGGAATGTGAAAGCAAAGACATTTATCTCTACTAGGTATGTGCCAGAGTGGACAATATCAAATCTTCAGTAGCTCAAAGCAAAGCATCTTAGCTGGAGGTTCAACCAGGGGACTGCAAATTTAGAACTTCACTGTTCTTTTCACACTTTTGTTACCCTTTGTACATGGGCCTTCCACTATTAGCCCCTGCTAGATATTCTGCTTTCCAACACTAAATGTTGTATTTTCACATCTAAGAGTTAGCCATGTAAACCTTAGTCTTGTGGTAAGTTTTTCTTCTCCAGTTGGTCTTCTCCTTCACAGTCTCCAACTATTTGTCAGTCTTTCTGTTCTAACTGAATCCCCATAGCCAGGAATAAGCTCATCTGTCAAGCTAGTGTGAAGGAGCAGGAAATTGGAAATTAATTATTCCTTTGAATAACATCTGGATTCAAAGCAGCAAATAATCATGCTATTTCTTATCCCCAGCTTTCACCACTGTGGCCAAGCGGCATGATTACCTTTTTATGATGTTGCCATTGAGTGTTTGTCATTCCATCATGTGGTATTAAAATGAGTCAATTATGTTAATACACCTGAGCTCCTGACACTATCCATTTCCACAGAACAGATTTCAAAAGCAAATTAATAAAATTTAGAACCATGCAGACAGCTTGATGCCTATTAAACACTAAATACTGAAGTTACTGCTATGTAATTTAATAATGACAAGCAATCAGAGGAAACAGGAAGGTTCTCTAAGTCTCATAATTACACTTATTTGTTGCTTTATGCTGAACTTTTGTCCACTGCTCCCAAATCTCAGAGAAATCAGGAGGAGGGAGACTCTGAGCTCATTAGCAATGTCCAGGGGCATCTGAAATGCACTGGCATACCAAGAAATCTTCACTGGAATGGCAGAGTAAGATGACAACTGAAGCTCTGAAGTCTTCCACAGATTCTGTGTCACACCTGCCAATCTAGGATTTCTGAATAACATTAGGTATGGCACCCTGGATACAAGACCTGTGTTTCTGCATCTGTGTTAAGGTCCAAATTCACAGACTATGACATGAAAATTTACTTGTCTGAATATCAATATCTAAATCTGGAATAAGTGTTTGTGTGTCTGTTATAACTGATGGCATGTAGGCATCCTATTCTATTGAGATGGCACTGGATATTCCATCTCACTTCCCACCAAAGGTCCTTTTGTCACAGTTGACAACACTAGGAAGATACACATGCAAGCAAAAAATGGATTTTTTTAATGTTTTTCCCCACACCTGAAGTAATTTTGTGAATGTATTTTCATGAAGAGGACTTTAGGACACTTTATTAAAACAACTTATGCGCCATATACATTTTAACAGAAAATATTTGGAACATGCCTTGATATTTATCAATGTGACATACTATAATGCACTGTGAGATTTCTTTATTTGGCTTAGAAAGTGTTAAAGCTTAAATGGGAGCAGAATCTAAACACATGAAAAAGCAGAGAGAGTGATATAGTTAGGCAGAGTTTCTGACTGTCAGAGAGCTCCAAAAATATGATGCAGTATTCCTGAAAAGTTTTTGAGGCTTAAATTAGTTTTCACTAAAGCCAGGCTGAGTTGTCAGACGTGTTCTTAGCAAGCATGCAAAGTCTTTATGGGTATGGCAGCACTTGCAGACCCTTCTAGAATCAACAGCCACAAGCTGTCAGGGTTCTGAAGTCTCAATTTATATTCCAAATGATGTTGCTGGTTCTGTGTGTATGACACATACCAGGCTTTTCACCTTGCCGTGTTTGCTCTGCTCGGGGGAGTTGCACTCAATAATATATTTTGCCTGAGACAAGGCACTGCTTTCATTACCAATTCTTACAGCATTAGAGCAGTACAGTCAAGAGTGTAATTACTAGTCTGGAAAGAGAACCAGTGACATTGGTTTTAGCAGCAGTCATTGGACAACAGACATGAGCAAACCTGGAGATTCTCCGGGGAAAATTTCCCTTCAGGCAAACAAAAGGTTCTTTTTCATGTCTGTAAGAAAAATATACCCTTGACCTTTTCAAAATGTAGATAGAATCAACAACCTGTGAGGAAACATCTGAGATGTCTTGTTCATCATGTATGGGTACCTATACATGCAGACTTTTCCTAATTGAGTTAGTATTTAAATAAAAATACATATTCTTAAACTTCAGAGAGGAAAATAACAGTTCACAGAATACTACCTGCATGTCCAAAACAAAAACTAGGATAAGAACCTAAGGATTTTAACTTTTAGTAGAAACTTCTGTCATAAAAAGAGACAAGGTTCTTCCTCAATTCCATAAGATAACTTTTTCTACTCCAGGTCAAGTTTTCCCAGTAAAATCTGTTCTGCAGCAGCATTTTCTCTATTCCAAAACATGACTGTCCTTCAGATAATATAGTTTGCTATCAGCAAGGAAATAAATCTGTAGCAGAATCACACTGTTCTGGTAATCGGTGTCTGAAAAGAGAAGACAATTTGTGTAAAAATGAGACATTCTATAGGTGTTTAGTATCTAACTTTGTCCTTGGAAAATAATTCATTCTTGTTGACCACATAAAAAGCTTGTCGAAAAAATGTATTTTTCATTTCCACAACTTGAGATTTTTATTATTTTTTCAACCTCTAATATATTTATGCATCAGAAACTGTCACTAACTGTTGCATTTGCCTCTGCATTATTTTAGATATGATGCAAAAATTCTCTGCCTCACATCCAGATTAATTAGAAGGACATGGTACTTGTTGGGTTTTTTTCCTCGTTTCATAAATTATTTTAAATCTCTGACTGATAAGCAATTCACAGAGCTGTAGCAGCTAAGGAAAATAAATACCTGTATGTCCATTAGAATGTAAATTAACTCATTACTATGCCTGCTCCTGACCTTTTCTGATGGCTGTATTCTTGCTAACAAAGACTCTTTGCTATTCATGAAAGTGAAATTTAATGGTAGCTTGAGATTCTCTGGTGTATTTTAGATTACATTCTGATAGACTCAGGTGACCAGTGAGGGTTCCAGCTTGAACAGCAAATACTTCTAGCATTCATGACTTTGAATAGCTATCCTTTTTCTAATTATTTGTGAAGATTTGAATATTGTTGAAAATTTATTGCTTAAGCAGGCAAGGTCAGTGAAACTTCATGAACTGCACAAAAAGGGCTCCTATGTTTAAAAAGTTGAATATTGATAGTACCTGATCTCACAGTCATTTAAGATTTTGTATCAGCTCTATAAACAGAGAAACTTAGAATCACAGAATCATAAAAAGGTTTAGATTGAAAATACCTTAAGATCATCAAGGTCAACCATTACCCCAGCACTGCAAAGTCCATCATTAAACCATGTCCTGAAGTACCACATTTACACATCTTCTAAATGCCTCCAGGGATAGTGACTCCACAAACTCCCTGGGCAGCATGTTCCTCTGCTTGGCAGTTCTTTAGGTGGAGAAATTCCAAATATATAATCCATATTTGTGTAACTTTAGGCCATTTTCTCTTGTCAGAACTCCTGTTACTTGGGAAAAGAGACCACCACCTCACCACAACCTCCTACCTGAAATGTGTAGAGCAAAAAGGTCTCCCCTGACCCTCGCTGCCTCCAGGTTCAATACCTCCACCTCCCTCAGCTCCTCATCAGACTTTTACTTCAAATCCTTCACTGGCCCTATGCAAGATCTTCTCTGGATCCATTCCAGTACCTCAATGTTTTTCTTGTCCTGAGAGGTCCAAAATTGATTCAAGGTATGGCCTCACCCTTGCTGAGTAGAGGGGAGTGATCATTTCCCTGGGCCTGCTGGCCACACTATTGCTGATACAAGTCAGGATGCTAACGTCTTCATCCTGGTTGGGTGGTCTAGAAAAGATTCCCACCATATTGTATCTAGTTGGCCTTACCCCTGATTCTTAAACATTCAACTGTGTCATCATATCACTCTGGACAGTCAAGACAGCCCCAAACGTACAGAGCTGCCCCTTCCTTGCCTGTCTCTTCTGGAAAGTTTGCAATCCATTGCAGCAGTCCTGCAGTACCAAGAACTGTGCTTCCAGCTCTTCCTGTTTGCTGCCTGTGCTGTGTGCAGTGGTGTAGCCATTCTCCAGCTGGGCTATTGATCCTGCCACCTTTTTGGGGGGAGAAGCCCTAATTCATGTGCGACCACTGTCAGCTGCTTCCGTGGTTTCTAGCGCATTAATAACCCTCATGTCTCTGCTGCTGCATGGATCCATCCCCTACCTCCACTGAGACAGCAGACCAGAGGACATCGCTGGCACACTGTCCCTCAGTGGCATGCAGCATCCAGGGTTATGTCTAGAAAGCCTGGTTTTATGCCTTACCCCTTTCAAATGCAGTTTAAATCTCTTTCGAAGAGTCCTGCTATCTGTTCTCTGAAGTCCTGGTGTTCTCCAAACTAACCCATGATCAAAAGAACAAAACCCACATTTGTGCTGGTGACACCAGGCTCAGAGCCGAGGATTGATCTGCTGGTTCTTCCTGTTCTTCTGTAATAATCTTCTGCAAATGTACAAATACATCAGAACACTACCTGTGCTTCTGATCCTGTAACCACTCATCCCAAGGTCCTGAAGTCTTGATTTCCCTCTAACCTCTTGTTGCAGCTTCATCACTGCCTACCTGAGAAATGAATATTAGGGCCATGTCAGGGTGGGAAGCTTTCACTTCATATCCTTACCCAAGGCTGCAGGGAGGCAACAGGCTTCCATAAGAAGTGGGGCTGGGTGGATATGACAGTCTGGTCAGAGAGAGAGAAAGCCAGATAAGCTTTTCCATGAATTGGTCTGGGAACTTTAGGGGGGCTGGAGAGAAAGAATTGTAAGCAATCTGCAGGTGGTGTTTTTAATATGATTGTTTTCCTCATAATTTGTTTACCCCAAAGGGTGTCCTCTTAATTAGCCAGTCATGTGAAATGTGTTGATTAAATGACCAATCAGGTCCACCTGTAACAGACCAGGGTATAAAAGAAGAGGTCTGAATAAACTGGCTGCTTTTTAGTCTCTTAGCTTCCTCATCTGAGTCTGTGTCCTTTCTGACTCAATGGGACGCAGGTCTGGGCTCCATATTCTGTTACCTTCAGAGAGTTTCCTGTGATGATGACGACCCATCTTTGTTTTGGGAGGTAGTCTGGACACAGGGAGCAGGCCAACTCGACAACAGTGTCATGCCCATGCTGGATGAGGCACCAGCCTTGTTATGTTTGGTTCCACTTGCAGAGCCTCATACCTGCTATGCCTGGATACCTGGAGAGATGAGGCACTGCCAGAGGAGACATGCACTTGTCAGGCACACAATCCCTTAAGTCACTGTGTTCAGGCAGGGGGAGAGGATAACAAATTCTCTCTATCATGTGTCTTGTCTGTCTGGGGAGCCTGTCCCTGGGAATACAAGGGGTGAAGGTAAGAGCACAGTGCTAATAACACCATGGTCATGAGTTCAGTCCCTGGATGGGCCATTCACTTAGAGTTGGACTTGATGATCCCTGTGTGTCTGTTCCAACTCAGAGTATTCTGAGATTCCAGTAGTCTGATACTCTTACACTCCCCTTGATTCCTCAGCATATTCACTTCCTCACGGAGGTGTTACTGAGCTCCTCACTGTGCCAACAGTCCTGGCACCGGGGTGGCAGTATGCTCCCACTGGAGTTCTACCTGGGCAGCTGTGTTCCTCATGCTGGGTGCAGACTTAGAGAGGCCATCTCTTTCTTCTTGTAGCTGACAGTGTTTCAGCACCATTCCTGTGTGCCCTTCTGTGCCAGCTGCCACCAGACTGTCACATCACGCCCTTGGTGCCACACCATGCTCTGTGTGACCACCCTGCTGATGGTGCTTCTGGCCCCCAGAGATCCCTGCGGGTTTCTCTTATCCTTTGGAGGAAGTCTTGGCGTGGTGCTCCTGGTCCTGTCAGCCATGGCATGAGCTGCAGGCTGCTGTTGGCCCTCCTCCGAGCTTCCCAAGCTCAGACAATGCCCCCAATGCACCTCACTGGAGCACTCCAGAGGCGATCATGTCAGCACCAGAGCCAATCGCCTCAGCAACTTCACTAGGATGAGATTGGGTACATTTTCCTAAAGTACTCCTCTACTTCTACGTCATTTCTGAGAAACTTCTGTCTCACATTTTGTGCTATGTGTCAAGAAGTCTGCAATTCTGAAGAGTTGAAATAAAGACTTGGACTCGTGATGCCCCCAAGTCATCTGGAGTAGAGACAAGCCAGAGAGGGTGGTACCTTGATGGATAAAGATCTAGCTGACCTTCCTTTGAACAGTTCCTGCTTTTTGCTCATACCTTCATAGATTGTCTGAGGAATGCATTCATTCTTTGGGATCACTTTTCATAGGTGTAGTAGGCCAAAGAGTGAAAAACAGTGATGATTTAAACTGGAGCACTACTTCTGCTGCATTTTCACCTGGGTTGAGAACAAGAGCAATCAAATAGTTGAGCATAAAGCAAAATACCAGCACAAGCAACCACTGAGAATCAGTTAGTACTATTGTGAGTCTTTTTTCAGGAAAAACTGGGTTAATAACATCTGAGTATATGTATAGAGCCATAAAGAAAACAGAGGTATTTCTCAGTTTATTAATGTGAACCTGCGTTTGCTACAACCAATGACTGTAACCCACCTTTGTGCTACTGCTACACAGTGCTCTGCCAGTTACTTGCCATGCTGCTGGTGTGTAGCCTACTGCAAGGGAAAAGGCACTGGCTGTAAACACATGGAATGTTGTGGCCTGGTCAGAGGTAGTGGGTCATTCATCCCACTCTGATGTGGGATGTGTTGATTTTTGACCCATTGCATCAGGTGCCATCCCAGCTAAAGACCAAATGGATCCTCCACAGCATGGCACCATGTCTCTGAAGGACAGCTGACAGCAGAAGTAGCTAACTATGCTTGAAGAGCTAGAGCTTGCAGTCTTCTTACACCTACTCTTTATTTCAAGGTAAATCAACTTTTTGTTGTTGCTAGAGTAAGAGCTCAATATTTAGAGCCGTTTGAAAAAGATAGACCTTTGAAAAATATTATGTAATAATGATTGATTTTATTAGAAATGGAACTACTAATTTCCATTCCCTATACATCATCTGATACTTTAAATATGACATGCTCAGCTGAAACTTTTTGTCACCTGCTTGTTTTCATAAGTATTATTTCTATTTATTTTCATTCATTGTCTCCTTTTAGATTTTGTTTACTACAGTATATAAATTAATTGAATGTACTATGTCTCATTGATCATATTCTTTTCCTTAAAAGGGGAAAATATTTGAAGAGTAATTGAATTAAAGGTATATATTTGTGCTATATACACACAAAAAATTACCTCTCCCACAAGTATTCTTGGAATTTTAGCTGTATGATATTTTAGATCTTAATGAGTTAACTCAATGGTAGCTTTAGCTCTGTGCACCCAATCTGACCACACCTAATATAGTTCAACAAAAGGCAGACATACTGAGGTGTAATGTGAATGGTAAGAAAGTTCCTTTAACCCTGCTAAAGGTGAACACCTGAGTCTGAACTCTCAGTGTTCTTGCCTGTCACATCCATTTGAAGTTTATGATTATTTGATACCTTTGGAAATCAGGCCCATGAAGACAACTGATAGACATCTCAGGGATTCCAGTAAGAGAAGGAAAAAAGCACAGAAAATAAATCTAGTGTTACAGTAAATTCGTCCAGTAACTTTTCTAGAAAGAAAACTTTTGCTTGAAGTGTTGTCACATGGATGTTGATAAGATGCCCATGGAGTCAGTTAATGCTCTGGGAGTGCTCATCAGCCATCTGTTCAGTGACTTCCAAGCATCTTGGAAGGAGAAAGGTCTGTTCAGTGCTTAAGACAGCTTTGCTCAGAAAGCCATATGCAACAAGGATATTAAAGCACAAAAAACTCCCAAGAAGCCCAGTGAAAGCTAGTGGGCTTTCACCCATTAAAAGTGAAAGTGTGACAAGTGATGTGGAGGGATGTTGACTCACCCTGAATGTTGCTTTAGATTAAAAGGCTTTGTGTTGCTGTTGAGTTCCTCCCTGCAGCACACGCCGTCACTGCAGAAATCAAACTGTTCCCAGGCTTCAGTTTAATTATCCATACACATCTGCCACAGAGGTGAACATTGTTAAAAATCCTGTGACTTAGCAATAGCTGTGTTAGTTACTTATGATTCTATGGGGTATGAAGAACTTCTCTGGGAAACAATGCAAAATAGTGAAAATAATGAAGATGGAAACGAAGCACAAATCATCCCCATGGGAGCAGACTAATAACCAAGGGCTGGTTTTGTACTACTGACTTTACAGAATTTGCCAAAAACCCGAAAAGGAAACTAATCAAAACTCTGTCTTGCAAATGCTCTAAGTCCTGCCTGATAAGCTGCTTTTAGAAAACTAAACTTTTCAACAGTAAATCCTTGCTGAAGTGTAAAGCACATGATATCTGTAAGAATATTTTACAACAAAAGCATACTTAAATTTGGATATAAGAGGAAATAGATACAATGAGTGTGATGTGATTTGTCTTTTGTTACAGGATATCTTCATCAAAAAGGAGAAGTACAGTAAACTGAAGCTGGAATTTGCCTTGATCTGAAAAAAAAAAAAAAAAAAAAAAAAAGTTTTTCTTCCTGCTACATTTGAATCCAAAATCTGTTTTCAGTTCACAGTGTTTTTTTAGTTAAGTTACAACATAGAAACCATCACAGCTCTGATTTCCAGGGAAGCTCATTTTGGAAGGTGGTAAATACAACTTAAAAAGCAATCTCAAAAATAATTTTTGTAACACTGCTTTATGAGAAACTGTAAGTCTGGTTTTTAGAAGACATGGGGTTGTTACTGTACCTCAGCTTATTTTTTTGAAATTAAACAATTAAAATGTTCATATGTGTTGGCACAGCTGCTATACCTTATTACAGTTTAAATAGCCAACCTGGAATAAGAAATCATTCTCAATGCAACTAATTTTGCAGAAGCATATGAGGTTATGTATTTTTATTGTTGCACACTTCCATGTAACCACAGTATTTTCCTGCTAGCACCTGGCTGAATGGTGGTGGTTGCTCTTTAACAAAAGCCAGTAACCCCACTCTCATTTCCAAAACTGATGCAGACCTGTACTGGCTGTCATTACAAGGAGTGTTAATAAAAAAGATAAAGGAATCTTCAAGAAATGGGCTACAGCTTGTGTGGTGAGGTTACCACACAATGTAGGGGGTACCTGCAAGGCATAAGGGTGTGCCAAAAGCCACTTATGGTAAGAACAAACTGCATTAAATATTTTCAGGTGGAATCTAAGTGGACTTATGCTATTTCAAATTTTAGACATGTATGTGGATGCAGAGGTGAGAGGTGTTCATATGTAAATGTACAAAATATTTTCACTTACTCAAGTTTTTATGAAGATATCGTAAGTTGGACAGCAGGGAGCTGGGAGTGTGGGGAGGGAGAAGCAGAAACCTGGAAGTGGAATGAGATTGTAAGGGTTTATCCAGTATATGTTTCTAGTTGGATGTGAGTTATCAGAAGGTTGGGCAGTATTAGTATTGTATTAGTACTCAAAATAAGTTGAAAGCTGCATTTTTTGGAGAACAAATTTCAGCCCTGTTGATAAATCAGTATCTGCATATGAACTGTTGCCAGTCTGCTGGCAGCTGTCATTCAGGTGGGATCCCGCTCTCCCTGGTGGGGAGTGCTCACATGGCATGTAAGGAGCACCAGAAATTCAAGGGAAAATGTGGTGTGTAGTGAGGTCAAACTAAATGAAAGTCCACTTCTCATTGCCCTGTAGATGTGGCTGCACACAGCCAACACTGCTGAGTGGACACTGAATATACATTATTAAGGTATATTTTTCTGGTGAGATTTTTAAGGCTCAGTTTTCTACATGCAGAGGATTTGCTCCTGTACTCATACAGAGTACTATTTTAAAATGAAAATTAGAAGGAGGGTTGCAGCTTGCCCAAGAAAGTGCATTTGGCTTTTATGTCTCTTAATCTGAACTCTCATTTTCTCTTGCAGTGTGCTACATATGCAATATTCTCTTGAATTCTTGAATTTACAGCATTTGTTGCACGTGTTTAAATACTGGCGATAATTCTGGATGCTTGGTACACAACAATTATCCATGATCAGTCTTATATTGAATAACTGATAATGCCATATATTCTATAAAAGTCAGTTTTGTTTACGTTGGGAAAAGGATGTTTAGTTCAGTTGTGAATGTAGCTCTTATGTGAGACAATATTAAAATTGTCAAGAAATATGTAAAAGAGGTAATGTAAAGTTCCTTTATGGAACTAGGTCTTCGCCCCTTTAGCCTAGCACCTAATCTGTGACAGAGGTGAGAGATTATGTAATTTTACATGAGGTCAAGGTGTAACAGATGAAATTAAATCAGAATAATGGATTTTACTATTAGTCCCAAGGTTTGTTACCTTTAAAGATGGTTGCTTCTATAGCATCCTTTTGAACACATATGGATCTCAATTTTTTTATTTTCCTTTGGATCTTTTACTTCTCTGGCATCCTATATCTGTTAGTTTTCTTAACATAATTTCATGCTGTGTGAATAAATATTGCCTTTTATTTTTTGAGTGTAGATGTTGTCATTTGTATGTTGCAGTCTGTGCCCATAATCACCAAGCTAAATATAGGTTTATATTATCTTTGTTTAAATGAATAATTGAATTTTTTTTAATTGAGGGACTTTTTAAAATAATTTTGACTTGATGTACATGACATTGTTTATTTGATTTTTAAACACTTATTATATTTTTAATTGATAGTAAAATTTTTATGGTATCTCCAGCAGAACTTATTTTTAGGTGGAGATAGTAAATAAATAGAGAAAAAAGATATTTCCATTTAATCAGGAGTAATTTTTCATGACAGTAGGTTGTGGGAGGTGCACCAGTATCAATGGGTAAAGAGTGTTTCCTCTACCAATATTTTCTGAACAACCAATCAGGGTAGTAAGTTGATTTGGGCAAGTTTCTAGTCTAATCTTTAGCTCAGAGGGGAAAAGTACTTTTTAATTTTCACTCTTATTAACAGTACAGAAGAATAGTGGGTAATAAAAAGGTAGCCATCTGCCATGCAATAAGTTATTTAATAAGTTTCTGCTACAGAATCCTTAATACTGAAACTGATTAAAGAAAGTGATGTACAAGTCAGATCTATCAAGGATGGCTGTTATCTCAGCTTGAGTTTGCAGATGGAAAGAAATCTGTCCACTTGTTAATAAAGCAGTTTTTATCCTGTAGAGTCAGTAAACATAAACCTTTCCAGGATTAGTTTTTTTCAATAGACCTTTTTTTAAAATAAAGCACATCAGCATTACTAAATAGCCAGTATTTCACTACAAATGGCTCAAGTGCTTTTATACTGCAAGATATTTCAGTCAAAATTAATTAAGTATCAGGGCAGAAAAAATTACCTCATTATCACTGAATTCTATAAATCTTAAATATATGTGCAAATATACCTGTTGTGAGATTTTTCTGTAGAAAGATACTATGCTAATGCTCTCATAATTTTAATTTTCTTTTTAGACTTACTTTAGAAAAAGAAATAATGAAGTCAGTGCTACTCTTTCAGCTGAATTCATTTTTTGAATGAAAGAGCAGACCTCCTATTAGATATCTCACTTTAAGCGCCATTTCTGTTTCTGACAAAACAAATAAACTGTTATTCGCTTTTAATCTTACCTAGGAAGGTCCACAGACTTTTTTTTTTTTAACTTGCTATTAAACTGAGAAGGAGTTTTTTAATGAAAGCTGTGTTGAAAGCTGGTATTTTAAAAAAAATGAGCCAATATTCTTTGTAAGGCTTCTTTTTATTTAATCCTTTGTAAAGATTTTTACCATTGTACTGCATAAGATAGGAACAGTGTTTTCAATGAGTGTTTCAAACCATTTCCTTTTATGAAAAAGACATATCGGGAGTTTTAAACATTTGTAAGCTACAAGAGTTGAAATTTAGGAGAGTCACTGAAGCAAGTTATCAATCAGTTAATAACTAAGGAAAAGGAGCTAAGTACTTGTGTAAAAGAGGTAGTCATGCCTGACTTCTTGCTAAGACCAAAACCAGGACAATATCAAAATAAGCAATCCTCTTGAGACTTGGCCACCTTATCTAGACTAATGAAACAGTTATTTTTCTTCAGGCTTTTCTTCTAAAAAAATCTCTTGTATTATTAGGTTTTGTTGATGGGATGTTCTGAATGCTTCTTCCTAAAGGTGCGACTGCATTTGACACATCAATACCAGGTCATTTGGTGTCTTATCCAATGTCCACCAAGACATTTGGAAATCCTTTTGATTAGTTCTTTTAATTTCAACCTAATCCCATGCTGTTTGTTAAGTATGGCAATGATCTCAATAGCTCCACTTGCATACATATATATATGTGTGTATATATATATATATATATATATATATATATATATATATGTATGTGTGTATATATATATATGTATATATATTTCTATCTATTTTTCTTAGAAATTATCCCTCGTGTTTTGTGTTTCCACCCCTTGTGTGTAGAGAATTTTCATATCTATCAATATTATCTGCAGACCTGAATGAGAATGGGAGCGTAGACACCACTTAGCCTCCATTCTTTGTGCATCAGAAAAAAACTGCTAACATTATTTTTTGTTTATTTCAGGTTTCTTTTCTCCATGGAAAACTCCAAAGCCTGTAAGTTCCCTTTCAAAATTGTACACATTGAGTTCATAAGATGGCTGTCATGCAAAGCAAATTTCTGTAGACTTTCAGCTGCCCATCCTGTTCCCAGCTCGTGGGACACCTCTCAGCAGTGCCCCAGCTCCAAGTGACATAACACCAGGGGTGGCCTCCCTGATAAGCTCTGAAGGTCTGTTGACTCAGAGTCTGCCAGAAGGGGTCTGGAAAAAGGAAAACCATCATGTTAAGATAGGTGGCAAGAACCAGAAGTGTAGTGGCTTAAAAATAAGAGGTCTGGAGAAGAAGACAGCAGAAATGAGTCCTGTCTATTCTTCTAGCTGGTGAATTCTTTGTAATTAACAACATGCACTTTTTCTGGTTTACAAGTGGCTTGAGTTTAACATCCTCAGAAAGATTGTTATTCTTTCTTACATTAGGAGATCTAGAGCTGCAATAGTCACACTTCAAATAAGAGCTTGGGCAAAATAACTGAGGTGCCTTTTAATCTACTTTCCTGTGTTTCTGTGATTTTGACAGTAAAACCCAAGGTGTAATGACTTCCCACTCTAAGACTGGAAGCAATGACTGTGTTTATTCTGCTGACACCACATTATATAATATTTTGAATTTGTGACAACATTCATAGTATAAAAAGAATTCATAAGCTACTATTTTTGGGTGTCTGGATTGTTTTATTGTTAGAGGGGGTTGTTTTGTCTTTTGTTTGGGTTTGGTTTTTTTTAATTTGGCTTTTTAATTGACATTTTACAGACAGAGTAATTCTTAATTCTCCACAAGGGTGTGTAGAGGAAATAGATCCTGAAGATTCCTAAGAGCAATGGGAATAACAATAGCAATACCTTTTAAAGGACTTAGAGCCTTCTTACTGGGGAGCAGGCTGAGGAAGTGCATTTCATCTGAACAACTTTACATATTCTCATATTGGAACATGGCATGCTTACATTTTGCCAAAATAATTTTTCTACCCTGTCAAGTACAAATAGCAATTAATCAGCTGATGCAACTTTGTCAGACTGCTTCAGCTTATGGTGGTTTTGCTGTAAAAGGATAGTCTGTATCCAGTATATTGGAATAAGTATTGCAAAAGTTGCTTTGTTTATCTATGTAGCAGGAAACTTGTGAGAATAAATCAGATTATTAAAGGCTGGCTTGCTCACACCAATTTAATAATCCTGAATGGCTGGGATGTTCAATTTTTAATCTCAGATAAAAATTGAGGAAATAGATAGCTTGGTGCTCACTTGTTAAAGATCCATATTGGAAGACCTCTTCCTGTCCATACTTAGCCTTTTTATGTACACATCAAATATATAAATATCAGTGTATTTATTGTTGATGATTTTCTGCAACATTTCATTATATGAGCAGTATGGTAGTTCATGTTCAATGAACTTGCCAATAATCAGGAGCTAGAAAAACAGCCTGAGTTGATGCAGTTTTTCATGCAATAGTGTGAGGAAAACCAGGGCTCACAGAATAATATAGCACCATTTGTGCTGTTACTGCAGGCAGACTGAAGGCCCACAGATACTCTATTTTGGAGTAATCTCAGCAAGAGATTTCACTAATGATTAACCAAGTTAAGATAGTGTGAATGCCTCTGTTTGTCACCACTTTTAACTAGATAAATAGTCAGACATAAATTTCTCATGTCCAAGGCCCGAAGATAAGATTGAACCAAGGTTTAGAAAGCCTCCCCAACACCTCAGCACAGCCTGTATCTGTGTGACAGATAAGGAAAACGAAGTAACCTGGAGTAACAGATCTTTCCAATGTATATCATGTATATCTTATATATGTATATAATGTATAATATTAGTGCAAAATGACCATGAGCAATGTCACCAAACCATTGCCCCAATTTGGATTTGATGCCCTGCACTCACTACTGTCCTTACTTTCAAGAGTGCTTTCTTTTCTGATAACTTCCATTACTGAACACTAGTCAACTGTTTAATTAGTTGATATGGGTTTGGGAGATATAATTCCCCTTCTGTTTATCTGCTTATTTAGCTGATTGAACTTCACACTTGAAGATTTAGAGCTAACCAGCAAGCAAGAGTTAGACATATGGGAGGGACACAGTAGGGTTTTGTCAACTGATCTTCAGTTTCCTGTCCTTTCTCCAGGGTAACGTTTGCTCATCAAAGATAATTGTATTTTCCTTTCTTTTTTTAAATCTTTCTTTGAGTATTTTAATTTTGTCCGGTTTCACATTTTGAAAGAGGTAAGTGATCTATTTCCCCATCACTTTCCAAGAAATTAGGAATCTTTCACTTCTAGACAAACATGGCCTGGCATGTCTTTCATCTTCATAATGACAAGATAGTTTGGTTTCACTGGCTTGTGTTCTTCTTTTAGATTCCTAAGGGAAGGTAAAGCCTATAGATATTTTTCTGGTAATTTCCTTCATCATAAGGAGCTTGAATTGAGCTTAGTTCTTCTTTCCTATTTAGACATAGGGGTCATAATCAGGTGTGTTTCTAGAGACCTTTGAATTTACAGTTCCATTATGCAATTATATAATGTATGTGTGTTTGTAGCTACTGGAGGTAATTTCTCTAGGGCTGTCAGAAGTAGTGCTGTGCTATTCATGTGACTTACCATACAGGCTAATTTACCTAAAGGACTATTATTTGCAGAAGATAAATTTATCTTGGTGCAAGGAGTGCCTGAAGGTACCCAAGGTAAATTCACATATTTCCATATCCCATTGTATTGCACAGAATGTATATACTTATAGCTTTGAATGAGCCAGCCCTACTTACTGCTGAAATTCTGACAGGAACACATCTTGAGTTATGATAATACTTTGTAAAATAATTAGGCCAATATCTATAATCAATTTTTCTTAAGAGCCTAAGAAGGTCAGATCACCTGGGATATGCAGCAGGAGGACACTAAAACATCCATATTCCACACATACCTGGTGTGAAAAAAGTGTGATGCAATTAATCATCAGAACAGAGAGTAAAGCCTACCTGCTGACCCAAACACCTTCTGAAACCAAGGAACTAAAGACAAACGAGTGTCACAGAATTTGTAGAGCAAGCTCACTGTAAACCTGCAATCATCTTTGATAAAGCTTCGCTGATACAACAATATAAGTCAGTGGAATTTAATTACAGATCCGCTTGTTTCCAAGAGGCATTTTTTTTCTGTAATTACCATTGTTGGGTTCTGTGTGAGAACACACTGTTCCAGAGGCTTTACCACCCTTGTCCTCAGGAGGGGTTATAGGAATAGCTAAGTACTCATTTCCTGAGATAAACATTTGTGTTTTGTTTAATTTAGCCTCTTCAAAGAAATTTGCTAATGCAATTTGATTAGTAGCCAACTTCTTCAAAAAATAAAAAAGCAGATCCTCAAGCCTTCTTTTGCACAGCCTATTATATCTTCAAGCTTGATGTACATGTAAGACTGCTAAAGACAGTCTTGAAGAAAGTGTGAACTGAGGTGTCTTTCATGCATAGACAATAGGCTGTTGTAGGCTTTCCTGTAAATGGCCTGGAAGAGTTGAAAGCCTTATCCTGTGCTTGGTTGTGTAATGCCACTTTAGTGAGTTTTTTGGAACACTAGATGCTTGAATACATGCTGTAATAATTTTCTCTTCGGTTTTGATTTGTTTTGATTTTCTTTTGATTTTTTTTTTTTTTAATCTTCAGCTGGAGCTGTAAATTCTGCTCCCAATTACAGGTATCTCATTCTCCCTGGGCAGCTAGTTATTTTCATGTATTCTCAGAAGATACAGCATTGAGGTCATTCACTTGCTACACAGTCTGTCCCTTCTTTGTTAAGCACTACCTTCATGTATGTTAGGTATTTTGATGAATCTAATAATTGTGTCTTTACAAACTCGCAGATTCTACCTTTAGCAATTTCTACCTTTAGCAAATAATTTCCAGTAGCTCAGCACATTCTGTAAGAGGCAATCCACATGCTTCAGAGGTAATGCTGGGCCTAATCTTACCTGAGAAATGTTGCATCTTGCCATGAGCAACAAATTAAGAAGTAAATTTAACCAAGTCACTTTATAAACAGCACAACACACACCTTTCATTCAAAAGGCAGCAAATAGATTTAATAATTTTACAAAACACATCCTCAACAAAAATCACTGCCTTTGATCTCATTGTGGAAGCCACAGTTTTTGCAAAACTTCTTTTTTATTCTCTCTATGTTTTTATTCCAGATGATGGAACGATGGGAGAATCAAGGCAGCCCTCAAACAAGTGTGTCTGCTCCAGCTATGCCACAGAATATTCCCTATCCACCCACTCTTCACAGGAGTTCATTTCCTGATTCAACAGAGGCCTTTGATCCACGAAAACCTGACCCGTATGAGCTGTATGAGAAATCAAGAGCTATTTATGAAAGTAGGCGTAAGTGAAAGCTCTCTTAACCCTGCTGGCCATTTAGTATTTGAAATTTTGCCTTTGAATGTGTCACTGTTTACATGATTTTCTGTAATTATATTTTGTAGTTTAAAGAAACTACATTTCTTTCCAGTAAATAGAGGCTATTGTAAATGTTTCAAAAATTGTACACTTGCATATTTTCTTAGATCTTACCTAGATTCTCATATTTGACTTTCATAGGTGTTTTTTCCTTATATATTTAATCTTCCCAGTTTGACTCTTATGTCCTTGGTGAAGCACAGTATATGTCCCACCACATTTTACTGTGGTTTTTTTTTTTCCTTCATAGTCAACCAAAAGGAAGATGGGAATTTATCAATGAAAAAAAAAAGGAGTTTCACCTACTTTCACTTCAAAGTGACATTTTTTTAAAGAAATTTCAAATGTATTTGTTTTTATAAAAACATCTTTAATAAGTTTTCACATTGCCCTTGGTAGTTAGAAAGTAACCCATAGCATGAAGTACTATCTGAAGGCCTATACAAAACAGTACTAACCCATTGAGATGCTTGTCTTGATTTAATTTCTCATGTTTTTGAAAATATAGCCCATATTTTTGACAGTAAGAATAAAAGGGCTTAGACTTATTTACTCTTTTTGTAAAGAACATTTTAGCTAAAAATATTGATCTAAATTGTCTTCAGCATTTGCACTTAAGATAAAAATTTTAAATTATTTTTTAATTTACATTTTTACTGAAAGCTTCCATTCCAAAGCTTCCACTGCCATTGCTTGCATATGCCACTTTTCAATTCATTTTGTGGACCACTTGAGCCTATAGACCAAAATATGCTATAAATGACACATAAAATATTGGAGCTGATTCAGACCAGTCCATTAATATTCATTAGGCCCAGAGACCTGGAATATTCACATTTCTTCAGCATGCAAAGGGATAGTCTGAAGGAAATACATTATGGTCCCAAACACTGGGTTAATGCCATTCTTACTTGCCTTGGCCTATACATCAGTTGCAGCATCAGCATCTCCTCTTTGGCTTTGGTATTCCCAGTCCCCACAAGAATGGATATTCTGGAGGAACACCAGAGTTCATTTTACATCAACTGCAAGTAAAACCTGATCTATTCTCAAAGCTGCATGTCATATTCCTCAGTTCTTTGACACTGTGCCCAGTGCCACCATTTTCTGCCACACTGATCCTATTAGGAGAACACTTTTCAATATAGATTGTCACCCTAAAACTCACTTTCCATAATACAGATTTTTTTTTTTTTGAGGGAGACAGTTGTTGATGTTTTATTTAACTCTATGTACTTAACTCTATGTACTTAAATAAATTGCTGACTTTTTTGAGGAATATCAGGTATCTTACTCGCCCTAAATATGGATTTGAGATCTTACTTAGACCCCTGTAAACAAGTATTTACTCTTCAATTATAAACTGTTAGGCATAGAAACTAAACTTTCTAGTATATTTACAAACACCATGTAGTCCATGTTGGCTGGTATTCCCAAGACGATGTACAAAAAAGAGACTATAATTTTTGAAATTTTAAATCTCACTGAAGTATGGATCAGGATACTGTGTGGAGTAGGCCAAATAGATTTGAAAGAAGTAGGACTAGTTTTGAGCAAAGATTGGAAATAGTTTTCAGACATCTCCCCTCTTTCACTTTCTCTTGTGCATTAAGGGCTAGACTAGTATATAAATAAAAACATTTGCTTGAACTGCAATATTATTCCCCAAAGAATTGGGTATATGATAAATCAAAAGGAAAAGAATTCATTCCATAGTTAGAAATTATTTTATGTAGTTTGGCACCTCTACTGAAAAAACTCTTGGCTTTATATAGAGGTCTAACAAACAGAAAACCCTTTGCAAATAATCATTTCCCATATCAATTACTTTTAGAAGTTATGTAGTTTAACAAAAGTCTTTCCACTCAACAGTCAGAACCATCTTCTGTAGTTAAAGTCATTAGGCCAAGAGTGCAGACTTCCTACATTGGAACAAATATCTTTGTGAGACGATTAAGAAAATATTATAAATGCCATATGGATATATGACATAAATATTTATATGGCATTTTCTTTCAGCCTGATCCCAAATCTACACTTGATCCGTGTGCCCTTCATGAAACTGTGGGAATATAGATCTGATGTCAACGACAAAGATTAACTTACCTGCCAGAAGTTTATATACTACATTACAGGATATATTACACCAATCAGTATTCATGAGTGCTTTCTTCAAGTTTTCTGAGTACTTCTTTGACCAGCATGAACTCTTGTCTTTTACTTATATGATCTACTGTGTTGTATATGCTTTACAATAGGAAGAGCATCTAAGAGCATCTGTGTTTTAATGTATAATTGCATTTGAGTTCTGTCCAAAAGGCAACTGGAAACTGTATGTGAGATGTCTCCAGCCAGCTGCCTAGAAAAGCAAGTAATTAAAAACAGTGAAGCTGCTAGGCCCAAAACAAGAAAGAGATGAAAAGCAAGACTGCAGTAACTTTATCCTCGATTTTGATCTGTGTCCCATCTTTCAGTTAATCCTGGAAACTTAAATTTCTTATCTTCTTTCTCCACTATCCCCTCAACATTTTCTCTAAGATTTGATTCGACCAGTTTCCAGCCAGATCTTGTCTGCATTCATATCCCTTATTTATAAACAGCTGCCTCAGAAGATCCCTATTCTCCCTGACATTTTTTTTTTCATGAATTCCATAAGCACACATTTTAGCAAATTTAATTTGTCAAGCCTTAGCACCACGTAGTTGTCCTGCTTCCTGAAGCTGGGAACAACAGAAAGGAAACCCATTACTGAGTCGAGTAATTCTCCTCTAACTTGAGTATATAGGAGGGAGAGTTTCAAGACAACACTGTTTCCTACCATATGGCAGTGTCAGGTTGGTAATCTTTGGGAAGAACATGCCCTAAAAGTGCACAGGAAAAGTTCAACTATTTCGGTTTTTTAAGTACTTATCTCAAAGCAAGTTTGTCTTATCTCCTGGCAAGACCTTCTTTTCATCTTCATCTTCTAAAAATAGGGCAGAGAAGTGAACAATCATGACCTGGAAAATTCAAAAATAAAGAGATAGTGCTGAATTTTTGTTTTTCTCACTGTCAGACTGTGTTACTAAACAGTTGATTTTTGTACTTCTATAGCTCTGAATTTCTACAGAGCCTTTATCATAGGGTTTCCCCACACTCAACACTCACCAAGGCCTCATAAAAGCCTCCTGCTTCCCAGTCAGAGAGGGAGTGAAGCAAGTTATGAAAAACAAGGTAGTTCAGTGAGGAGCACAAGGAACATGACTCAAAGCAGAGCAAGAATGAGACCAATGTGTTGCCTCTAGCTCATCCCTACCTAATGGTAGCAAGAACAGAGTTGCAAGCAGGAAGTCTCAATGAGAAACTATGATTTTCATTCTACAGAAATGTTTTTCTACTTAAGGAACTTGAAGAACCTGCAAGACCCTGTGTGATGGGAAGATTTCAGTTTGTAATGGTTACATATGAATTGCAAAGCACTACTACTTCTGTATGGGAAATAGTTTCATAGAGGCAATCAAATGATGCATTAGTACAAAAACAGAGTGCAACTCTATTTTGGAAGTCATAGTACCTTTGAAAATTATTTGTCATGAGTCAACTGTTACCTGTCAGCTCTTCTGTCTTAGCTGTCACCCACCTCTGCTGTCACCTATCACTTATGCTCAAAGCTCCAAGTAAATAAAGGAACATAAGGGGTTTCCACTGAGGAGGACTACCACATCATCTAAAACAACTGCTTAAGAGCAAAGATGGGAAATTGGTTCATGCTTACTTTCTTTACTTTGTCTCTCTGGTTTTTGGTTTGGTTTTGGGGTTGGTTTTTTTTTGGGGTTGGTTTGGTTTGGTTTGGGTTTTTTTGGTTTGTTTGTTGGGGTTTTTTTTTTTTGGTTTGGGTTTCAGGTATTTTTTGTTTACTCTTTTTCCCCATCTCTTCTTATTTCTTCTGCATGATGAAGATACCTAACTTTCTGCTGTGACGTAATTTTCTCAACTGGATACTTTTTCATTTGTTCTAATCTACTATTAATTCAAAGCAAAACCTTTATCTCCTTTTTTCTTATGGAAACTATTCGATTGTAAGTAGAAGTGTGACTCTCCTTATGACCAGTTTAGGTACAGAAGGTAGAAAATGGAATATCAGATCAGGAATTTCCAATTAATGAAAAAATTTTGACTTCATATGCACCAGATTATTACAGTTGTAACTGGAGCCCTTGAGTTATCATTAGGAGACCTCATTCCCCTGAATTTTAAATTTTTTATTTATAAATTCTCCTTATTGTGTCTTATATTTTATATTGAACTCTGTTTATTGTAAATCCATAGTTTATAAAAACTTCGTTCAGACACCCCCATAGGCAGACATTAGTCAACCAGGAGTCACAAAGCTGTTGGGAATCATAATGCCATAATATTTCTCTAGTTATAATAGAAATTTGAGTTTATGTTCCTCTAAGGAAAGAGGCAAAATTAAACATTTTTTATGTTGATTGGGTTACATTTGTCCTTCCGTTAGTGTGGTAGCCAAGGCTGATTATGTGACACAGAAATGCCAGTAGGAAGAATGAGATAAGCCAGTGATAAGCTCTCATTAAAAGTGAAATCTGAACATTTACAGTTCCACCCTTAGCTGGAAGAACAAAGGTTATTTCTTCAAAATCTCCCATGTTATTTTCTCCTCTGACAACAGTATTTTGAATTTCTCAAGTCCCTTTCAAATCTATCAGCTGTTTTATGCAATGCATTATTTTTACTGATAGAGATTTTAAAAAATTGGAAAATAACTAAAAAGCAAAGTTCACCAACATCTGTGAAATACGTAAATCGCAAATGTGTTTGAAAGCCTCCACATAATAAGGTATATTCTTTGGCAGACTTATAGATACCTTTCTGTAAGGGTCACAGACAAACACTTCAATTCATATTCACGGGTTACATTTCTT